TAATGTCCGTTTTTGATGATTATTGAGCTTTCAGTCAGGTCCATGAATTTCCTGTCCTCACATGACATCTCTCTTTTTTCCTCATATTCCTTTTCAGGGAAATCCTGGTTGTACTGTGAGACTAGCTGGTCCCTCAGGTTATCCAGTGAAATTCTATTGACGGTTGCTGACATTGTTTCATAAGTATCCATAGCAGTGTGAGATTTGAGGGGCCCATTGACCACCCATTCAAACATTGTCTTCACTGCATATGGTCCATTACCCTGACTGTGGATTATATCCCAGGGTTCCAAGGCTTTGGGAACATTCATCCCTATCAGCATTTCAATGTCTGCATGAATTTCCTTGATTTGGATCTGACTGAGATGAAGCCATTTTTCAAGATCGGAGTGTGTGAGAAGGTTTTCCGTTGAGACAGGAATCTTAGTTTGTGTATACACTTCAGGCAAGTTGATAAATTGTCCTCCATCTATGTTTCCTATTTCCAGACCTGTAATTTCATAGCTTTTTGCATTCCTTTTTTGTCCCATTGTGCGGAGTAGAATTTCAGTCTTTCGTCCGTTAGTATTCAGTTGGTTCATTAGGTTTTCAGTACAGAATGTGGCCGTGCTCCCAGGGTCAAGAAAGGCGTAGGTTTTAATATACTTGCTTCCTTTTGCTGCTTTCACTTGCACCGGAACAATAGCAAGGGCACAATCCTCACCGGCCCCTGTTGACTGATCAGCTGATACCTTCGCACTGTTGATGGACGCTCACTTTGGTTCTGTTCTACTGTTTTGCAGGGTGACTTGTTTTGAATTTAATTCATCAATATGCAGCAGTGTTGGATGTTTCCTTTGGCATGTTAGACAGTTTAGCTTCAATGTACAGTATTTGCTCATGTGACCCTTCTTAAGGCAACCAAAACAGTAACCATTTGTCTTTAGACATCCGTGGCAAAGCTACTGCTCCTTTTAGGTCTTCTGAGGTCAGTTGTCCTATTGTTGGTGATTATCCTTTTAGTGGGATTTGAGTCTTTAATTTCTCCAAACACTGGGTGTAATAATATGTCAGAATGCTTTTCGGTGAATTCGACCAGATGTTTGAATCTAGCTCTGATGTTTTTCTTTTGAAATTCTTCATACGCTGTTGTGCGCCATCTTTCCCTGAGCTTATATGGTAGCTTGGATACAATTAGTCTTAACGTTGATGTGACGTCTAGCTCATCCATGTACTCCAAGTCCTGCATGGCGTTAAGGCATTCTCTTAGGTATAGTGAGTAGGCATGAAGAGATGTTCCATCATCTGGCTTGATAGCTGTCCAGTTGAGTGCCTTATCCAGATAAGCATTTGCAATTTTCATTTCATTTCCATAATGTCTCTTTAAAAGTTGCATGGCCTCTGAATATCCTCTTTGTGCATCCATGTGAAGACAGCTACGGACCAGATCTCTGGCTTGACCTGATGTAAACTGTTCAAGAAAGTAGAGCCTGTCCTGGCAGTCACTAGTTTTCTCTTCAATTAGGTATCTGAATGCATGCATGAAAGGTTGATAAGAGAGTGGGTCCCCATTAAACACAGGCACCTCTCTCTTAGGTAGCAGGGATAGATTTTGTTGCATTATCATGAGATCAGCTATGTCCTTTTGTCTCTGTGCCAGTGTGTTGAGGTTTTCCTGAGTAAAAATGTTGATTGCAGGATTTTCCAGTTGTGGTCTTGATGCACCATTTGCTTGCCAAGATCTTTTATGGAAATCTACAATTGTTCTATGTAGTGGAGTTTTAGGTACAGCAGCTACTTCAATAAATTCCAAGACAGAAGTGTCTGTATACGTTTGCTCTACATTTTCCAGTTTACCTTCTTCATCTAAATAAGCATTCATAGCATCCCCAAGATGATCATCCTCATGTGGGCTGAGAAGTACCCTCATTTTGGCATCTGCTGCTACAATCTGTGATTCCATCTCCACCTTTTCCATCTTTGATTTGAGAATTGTTTCCTCCAGTTGCAGTGCATGCATGTCTTTTAAAGCAGCAGACTTAGCCTCCAGAGCTGCCCTTTCTGCTGATGCTAACTTAGCAGCAGATGAGGCCCTTGATGTTGTAGTCCTTTTGGAGACTGTAACGAAGGTAACTTCGTTACTATGGACTGACGGCTTTGGGGGCCTTGTAATATTGCACATGTGGGTTTGCACTTTATATAACGACTTCCTTTTGCACAGTAATAATGTCACTCAGCACTTTAGTGAACAGTTTGCACTTTATTAGCATGATTTGCACAGTACAGTTTGACATGGCCTATTTGCACATTTTTATATAATCTATACTATTTATTGATGATGTAGTTGTTAAATGATTAAACCGTAGTATTTGGAATGTCGTCTGGCAGATGCTGGTCGGTCCTCGGCTCCACCTGAAAAGAGAGGGGAGTTATAGCGAGAGTGTTTATGATTGTGTAAGATTGACAGCGGATGAGATTAATCATTGTGTGCAGATGTCCTGTTTTAGCGTCTATATATCATGACGTTAAGTTGCATTCATTGTAGAAGTGAACACTGTGTAAAGGTTACGCCCATCGCTTACCCATGCTGTTTCGTCATGTGTCCGCTCCAGTGTGTTTGGCCAAAAGGTCCTCGGGGGGAAACAAACACTGACTAAAGAAGGTTCCGGGACGAACCAAGTGGCGGGATGGGCGTAGGGGTTTCTGTTGTAGTTGGGAATGTATTTCTATATATTATGGTCAGTTATAATGTGGGTTTTGGGGTTAACTTAACAGCTGGCTATTAACCACTGATCATACATGCACAGAATGTTATAGATTATCGTTATACCAATTATGATGACATGTGTATTTATAATGGCTCACCTGTGAATGGTTTCTCCCAATAAGATCCTCTATAAAAGAGCCAGTCTTCAGTCGGAGGAAAGTGGTGAACACCTCCATGCTGGCTGGCTGTTCTTTATGGTGGTTGTGAAATAAAGACACTATGGTGTGCAACTCTACCTCCTCTCGTGGTTGGTTCTTTCACTGGAAATCCAGCCGCTAAAAGGGTCGCTGTCTCACAGAGGCATTGGAGATACTGTCAAGTGGATCAATTTGTAGTTGTGCAATACGTTCTCTTCTCCATGCTTTAACTTCCTTTGCAAAGTAATTCAAGTTCATAATTCTGGGTTCATACCAGTCCGTTACACCAATGTCCTTTTCCTCTTCAGATAAGAGTTGTTGGAGAGAATGATGCACTTTATTGAATTCATCCATAGCAGTTTTAAACATATCCATGCAATCATCAACATCATCAACATTTCCACCGTCAGTGAGCAGGGCTTTAGTTTCATTTAGTTTTCTTGTGCACACTCCAAGTTTCCCTCTGCGTGTGGCCGTGAGGGATTTTAAAAGATCCTCTGCCTCCATGGCAGTTTTAGGTTCAGTCATTTTTACTTGAGAGTTGCTTTTAATTGTATTCAATCCCTTTGATCAGATTGCATCTGCGTTAATCCATAACGCTGTTCTCCGCAGCGTGCGTAAAACTGGCTTACACAGACGTCCTTATTTCTTTGATGAAGCGTTTAATCATTCCATCCGTAACATTTGACACGTTTGGCTCATATGTTCATTTGCGTATGCATCCATTGATTAAATCACAACAAGCATGACTCATCATTCATTTATTCCTCTTGTTTACTCACGAGTCCCACGCGCACTGCCTCGTGTACAAACATTTCCAAAACGAGGCCGGCGTCTGTCCTCTTTTCCACGCGACTCCCGGAAGTTTCAATAAGGAAATCCTTGTAACCCTCTTTGCGGCGGGCCATCCACAGAAAAAGGGTTTCCAAAAAAATAGTATCCATTCATGAGGCGGGTTTTTTACTATATAGCGGCCAAAATCATAAAAATATAAGAAAGAAATGTAAATCAAAGCAAAGTGCCGCTGAGGCACCCGTCAGCGAATCTTACGCATGGGTAAAAATCAAGGTCCGAGCAAAAGTCGTTTCAGTGCAATTTATTGTCAACACATCAAGCATTTTCTCTTCCTTCTTACCCGATGGTAAAAAACCATAAGCCTACCGGGTGCGCCGCTCACTACCACCTGTTTCCCATATTTATAATGAGCCGGTCTCCCCTCCCCCGGTGCCCAAAGGCTGCCTTTACAAAAACAGAGGCATAGTACAACTTATTTGATAAACTTAAATAAGAATTAAAAGGAAGATTTACTATAAACAAAAAAGAACAATAAAATAAATGGATAACTATTAAATAATATAAGCTCCTAGATATGGCTTCATCAACTATGGTTTTAAAATACTCCACTACAAGTAAAGTCCTTGTAAAAGTAAAATGTATTGGCATCAAATTATACCTAAAGTAAAAGCATTCATTCTGCACAGTGGTCAGTACAGAATATTCTAAAGTACAGAAGTATTATCAGCTATATGTGTTTCAAGTCTCCGTTACTTCCCCCCCCTGACGATAACAAGGTTCGTGTGATTTAAATCCCATATTATATGATGGCAGAATTGAAGAAAACCCAATAACTAGTGAGTAGTCTGAGATTTTCAACATGCTAACATGTAGCTCAAAGCCCCGCTGTGTACATTCTGACGTTCTGCCGCTACGTACACACAGTTTCGTGCATTGACGCTTGCCGGTGGGCGTGTCTGGCGCTTGGGGTTAACGCGACCAACCACCAATCACATTAATCTCCCGCCCCGGACTCACAAAGCACGCGGTTTGATTGGCTGGCGCTTTCGTCGACGCTTGAAACGTTGAACTTTTCTCAACTTTCACCGCGAGCAGCGTAGGCAAAGCGAAGCAACGGAACCACAATTCAGTTCGGCAAAGCGTGACGTCACCCCATTCAAAGTGAATGGGAAGCGTCTCCGCTAAAGCTTCCAACGGAACCGTGTACGAGAGGCGTCAGTGAGGCTCGTTCAGAACAGCCATGCTGTGAGTTCAGACAGTACAGAGTGGTCATCACATCCTCAATAGTAATAAGTGTTCATGTTTCCCCCTGGGTTCTGCAGGTTCTGACTCGGCCTCAGGTCCCTCCTCTTCCTCCTCCTCCTCCCCTGATCTCACAGAGAGCTCCTCAGCCTCCTCCTTTAACCGCTTCACGGACTCCCCGTCCGTGGAGGAGGCGTTACGGGACGGCTGCGCGGCCTGCGTCCGACACATCCTGTCCTCGGTCCGCTCTGAGCTGAGAGCAGCCTCCCCTGCACCCCCCACCCCCGCCCGCCTCAGCTCAGTGCTCTTCATGGCAAGGCTGTGCCAGTCGATGGGGGAGCTCTGCCCCAACCTGAAGAATTGCATCCTGGGGAAACAGGAGGGGTCCGAGGCCCCTGCCAAGGTGACCCCCAGACAGGGCAAGAAGCTGGGCAAAGCCAGGGCGGCCCCCGAGGTGAGCCCCGTCCAGGCCAAGTGGGCGGGGCTAAAGGAGGAGCTTCTGATCTGCAGCATGGAGGCATACCGCATCTGGAGCGGCGCACTGTCCAAAGTCAGTCCATAACGGAGAGAGATGTTTATATGTGCATATACATTTGTTAAATCTTTTCCATTCGTTAAATTTTTTTGGGCCTTTCTTCTAGCATTAAATGACATTACTGTTGCGAGGCGTCACAATGCAATGTTGGCCAAAATAATGATGATCTAACTTAGTTTACAGGAATTGGTACATGATTGGTACAATAGCAATATTAACCTTGAGCCTCCTCAGCTCAAAGTCCATTTACTCCCTTTTAGATTTCTCAATATTATCTCAGGGTGTTCATTTCACATATCGGCATCATGTGGGGTCATCATATCACTGAGAACACACTGTACAGAATCTACCACACACACACACACACGCACGCACACACACACACACACACACACACACACACACACACACACACACACACACACACACACACACACACACACACACACACACACACACACACACACACACACAGCAGAGCAGATATTTACATAGAGCAGCAAATAGGAGCGAGAATCTTTGATTGACGGAATCAGCTTTGAGCGACTGATGCTCAGCAGGTCGAGCTGTTAACAGGCGTCATGGTACACCAAATGACACCCACATTTCACCGTAATTACACTGTTATTACACCCAATTCACAAATGGAAACAGCATGTCAAATGAATGCATAAAGGTTAAAGGGTTCACTGTGAGTCCATTAAGCTGCTGAAATATGCAACTGTTTTCAATGAGCCATTACATCATTATAAGCTGGTGTTATTTGTTCCTGCTGCCCTCAAATGCCCAGACAAATGAAGGCCTGAATGTGGGCTGCCTGGCGGTGTGTGTGTTGTCACAGGTGCTGCTGGAGAAGTTGGGCACAGCGCTGCATGCAGAGTCTGCCGGGGCGGTCCTGACCACAGGGACTAACTGGGAGGATCTGGAGATCCAGGAGGAGGCGGAGTCAGGGAGCAGCGTGACATCCAAGATCTGTCTTCCAGTCCAGGTGAGGGTCTCAGCAGCTCCAACACACACAGGAAGTGCTTTATCACTCCTTTCAGTAATCTGACATGTGTCTCCGCAGCCGTCCTGGTTCGTGCAGTCGCTGCTGTTCCAGCTGTGTGTGGAGGTGAACAGGGTGGGGGGGCACGCCCTGCCCCGGCCCACCCTGCAGGAGCTGCTGCAGACCTGTCTGGATCAGGCCCTGCAGCACTACCACAGCCTCACACAGCGGGCCCCCAGCACGGTAAGGAACACACACACACACACACACACACACACACACACACACACACACACACACACACACACACACACACACACACACACAGTGTTGATAACAGGGGAAGTTTGTAATGTGAAAAACGTCTGTTTTATTACTGCACATATTTTATTTTATTATTAGTTTGCAATAGTAAAATTTACATAGATTTTTGGTATATCCAGATTTCATGTAATTATTTTTTCAATATCTTAACGTATAATCTTCTTTTTTCAATCGTTTTTTATAATTATTTTAATTGTTAGGGTTGTTGTTCTTACTTATCATCGTCTTTAACTGTGTTTATGTATGCATCATATACACCAAGACAAATTCCTTGAATGAGTGAACCTACTGTTGTTTTCTGTTCCTCGTCCTCCAGGAGGGAGTGTTCCCCATGACTCAGAACAGAGCCCTGCAGCTGCTGTTTGACCTGCGGTACCTGAACTCAACCCTGGGCAGCAGACAGGAGGAGGGCAAAAGCTCCAGATCCCACCAAGACCCCAGGTAACACCATCAACCACACCCAGGATGGAGTGGATACCCCACCCCAGCCATCAGAGGAGTGCTGCACAGCTCCTGGCTTCAGTGTCTGTTAGAGTCATTCCAAAAAGAATGAACGTACATGATTCAAGTAGGAATTCATAGAATAAAGCAAACACTCATTTTCCTCATCTGCAGCAACAATTCAACTTTTCTAGTCAACCAGGCAATAACAGAAGATCACATCCAACCATTTAAACATCTGTGAATCTAATTTAAGAAAATAATCATCACCTAGCATAAATATATGTTCTACTTTAATTACATTACATATAATGCTACTAGTATGCTAGAATACTTTCTCCTGTAGGGGTTACTGGTAGTATTACTCTACTTCATTTGAGTAAGCATCATTTGTAACCGGTCCAACGGTTTGAGAAGTATATGACGTTTAGAAGTCAGATGACTGCAGACACTAACCTGTTCAGTATCTGGGATGTTCCAGAGCAGGCAGGGGGTGCAGGTCTTATATCATGCCTCGCACGTCTCACATTTTGTCTCGGGATGCTCAATATTAGTTATTGATTATGCATCACTGACAGGAAGTGATGAATGAGCTCTGATGTGACTCCTGCTGGATCTTGATCCTCTCGTTCTGAGTGGCCGACATCTGGACTGGTTGGCTTTCTCTGACGCACTTCCACAAAATAATTGCAGAGATCTAAAATGTGTTCAACAATTCCTAATTTAATATCAATGAGTAATGTATAATCACACGAAGGAATCAAAGTGGCAGACCCTCTCACTCTGTCCGCCTCACACCTAACACAGGTGAACAGCTGATTATATTATGGATCTAACCATCTCAACCAACCCATTGCGATGACACAATAACACATGATAATATAACAAACACTGGCCTATACCAAACAGAAAACCATCTCAGACCTTATTAAATGCACAACAAATGTCACCACTATGTGAGATTCGTGGCTCCTATCCTGTTTATCTGTTGCATATTTAGAGGGTGTATGTAATCACTTGACTACACAGTCAGTCTGGAGCCATGCTCCATATGCTTCTGTTCAAGCTGTATTAGCACAGAGACAGAGGATCAGGGCTTGATAGGAGCTGGGTGCAGGTCTGGAGTGACTCTACCTCTCTAGCTTTCTGATTGAACCACTTCTTCAACACTGTTTTGTGTCGTTCAGATTCCACGACGTCTGTGATTGGCTGGAGGGCTACATCGACCCATTTGACCTGGACGTGTTCACCCCCCCGCTGAACACCAACCTCAACCGCATGTCCCAGAGGACTTCGGTACTTCAGCACTACGCCATGAATAGTTCTCACACACACACACACACACAAAATGCCTGTACATGTTTCCAGATGTGACAGTAAACAGGTGACTCTGGTGCTGTTACTGAAGTTGTTGAGGTCATGTGACGTTGTGCCTCAGGTGCCCTGTTACTGAAGTTGTTGAGGTCATGTGACGTTGTGCCTCAGGTGCCCTGTTACTGAAGTTGTTGAGGTCATGTGACGTTGTGCCTCAGGTGCCCTGTTACTGAAGTTGTTGAGGTCATGTGACGTTGTGCCTCAGGTGCTGCTGGGCCTGCTGACGGGCTCCGAGAAGCAGTTCCCCTCGCGGAGCAGCAGTGTGAACTCCCAGGAGCCGTACAACATCCTGCCACTGGCCAGCAGCCAGATCAGGTCAGAGGTCAACTCCAGCTCAGCTAAACTCAATTACCAAATAAAATATCTGATGTCGGTCAGATCATACTAAATCCCCTAATGTCAGATAGAAAAACTAAGTAAGAAGATGATCAATGTAAGCAAGAAGGTGTCTTCTTGGTCAGTGTCTTTAAAGTATTGAGGTATGCCAAGCACCATGTTTGTTCTTATTAACTTACCAACTTTCAAACTGTTGACTGTATTCAGTATTATTCAGAAGGCCTTATATTAGCCAGCTTTCTCAATATAGTTATTATTCTCTCAGTAAGTGGAGCTAATATATAATCTATATACATCTGGATTTTAATCGGGTATCTGTTCTTGTCACTTTGTTAAGTTAGCCTTTGCACTTAGTTTTGCTTCAGTTGGTCAGCATTATCTCTGTTGAGAAGTCCTACATTCATTTTGAGATGAAAGCGTTATTTAAGTAAGAAATGATCCCTGTGAGAGGGTGAAAGAAACAGACCGGGCTGCAGTGTTGATGAGTGATATTCATATTTCTCATGATTAACGAATTATCTAGGCTAGTGTTTCTCAAACTTTTTCATACCAAGGACCACTTAACCAATAAAAAAACACTCGCGGACCACCTAACTCCACAAATATCCAAAAACACATCGTTTTTCTAGAACAGATTACAAATCACCTGGAAATTGTACAAACAGGTGGCAACATGTGTGACGAAGGTGTTGCGCTGGGCTATATTATGCAATTGAAAGTGAAACTTAAGCTCGCTCCATTGCGGAGATATTCCCGCGAGAGTGCGGAAAACTTATTTATTTCAAATGTGAAATGTTACCAATATACTCACGGACCACTAGGGGGCGCTCACAGACCACCAGTGGTCCGCGGACCACACTTTGAGAAGCACTGACTAGGCTAGCCCACTCGTATGAATATTGCATTCCATTGCAGGCATTGTACCATGTGACCCAGTCCTGTCATTGAGTCCAGTTATAGTCAGTCATTAATATGACTGTATATACAGTAACTATCCTTCCCTGTCTCTTTTGGATATGTACCATACTTTTGTTCAAAATTGTATTTCAACCTAATTCCCACGATGTCCCCTCCTCAGGTTCGGGTTGCTACCTCTCAGCATGTCCAATGTGCGTAAACCCAAGTCGGCCTCCCGGAGCTCTGAGGCTCCTCACCAGCTGGTGAGTAACTGAGCTGAGATCAGCAGCAGGACGTAACTCTGATTGTTTCATATGCTGACACACACTGTATGTCTTCATCTCTCTGTTTATTGTTTTGTTGCACCCTGGGTAATGTTCTCTGTTACACTCTCTGCCTCCTCAGAGATTCTGAGTGCAAGAGACTCAGGCAAGTTCCTCACTTTGGGTTGGTCTGTGTGTGTATGTGTTTTTTGTGTTGTGTTTTCAGTAGTGCCTTGGTCTAGCTGTGGTGCCTTTGCAGTGTGACAGTACAGATTATGAAGTGGTGAAATGATTCAGACGGGCTACAGAATGTTCTGCTCTGTTCTCTCCCACCCTCTGCCGGGCTCAGCTCAGGATCAGACTAATGACTGGACACTTTCTTGGGGAAGCAGCACTGCAACAATGACATGGCATTTTCCTGTTCTGAGTGGACAAATCACATCTTGAGTTGCATGCATTACTAGTTGAATGTGTGGCAATGTCCACAGCAATACAAACAATCTGATGTCTCTATGCAACTCCAGTTGGGATTGGTCCAAAAGAATCCATTTTAAGCTTTCCTTAAAAAAAAAAGAATGACCAACATGAATTCCAATGATATAAGTGTGCCTTGGAGCCAGTGCAAGTTGAATTGTTGCTTTGCATGGCCAGCAGTGTCCCTCTGCCTCCATTCTGCTAAGCTAGGCTAAACCTGCATCCTCTCACTGCTGGGTGCTCGGAGCTAACATCTACTCCTTCCATCTGACGACAAACGTTACTGTTCCGACAGAATAACCCAGGGTCTCTGAAACGTTGGATTAGGTGTTCCATGATAACATGAAGTGTTAACTAGTTTTAAGGGTGAAAGTAGTCCCCACCAGTGACCCCTTAGATAATGAATGTGACCTGTAGCTTCTCTACCTTTCCTGTCCACTACATTCCCTCTCCACATTTGAAATGTTAGCATGGAGCTCCAGAGCCCGGCTCTCCTGTAGCTAGCCCTGTGAAGCTACAGTGCTGGATTTACCGCTGTGCTGGTATACCTTCTCACTGGAACATGTTGTGAGACATTCAGGAGCTAACTACAGCACTGGTGTCTCACAACACGGCTCCTGCCTCTGATCCATTTAAGCCCCAACGGAGCGAAGCTACTCTATGATACTTATCTTTAACTGACAGAGAGGAACTGCCTTGTTGACATTATGATCGTTAGTAGTAGAGGTAAACTAGAATTTAGACCTGCTTCATAACTATTATATTGTCTATGCATTTATTATTTTAACCAGATAAATGAGACGTATGAAAACCTCAATTGTTCCATAGACTTTACATTTTATTTTAAATGTAATTCACATATTGAATTTCCACAATCTTCTTCGTCAACTATTTCTGATGAACTAATAACTAATCGGCGTGTGATCTGATGCCGGCACTTGCCATCTCCTGGAACAAGAAGTCACTCAAGCAGTTGTTAAAAGGTGTCTGTGGGACCATCAGGCAGGTATCAAATAAAAATCACAATTTATTCCAACTTTGGAAGAATACTGATGTAGAACGCTGTAGTGTCTTTGTACTGTGTACTCTCTGGTTACCATTGAAAGGAACCTAGTGTCGTTCGGAGCAAATCCCGTTTTACCTGACACCTGCCTGTTAAATACTCAACGTTCGGTGTTCTTCCCCTAATACATTTAATGGGCTCTTGAGTGCCACATATGAAGTGCCCACATCCCAAGAGATGGCCATCCAGGGATAGTATGATAGCCCTATTTGAACCGGTGACCCAGGGACAGTAGACCATTGTGTTGTGTTTTTATTACTTAAGAATTAGGATGGACATGAATCCACCAAAACCTCAGCTAACCTGCCGTGTTCTCCTCCCTGCAGCAGACGCCTCGTCCCCCCTCCTCCACAGCGGGTGAGGACAGCTTCCGGCCGGGCAGCCTCTTCAGACAGCTGGCTGCTCAGGACGAGGACTCTGCCGCTCCCTCTCTGTTCAAACTCAGCTGGCTGTCTGGCATGGCCAAATAACCCTTTATGCAAAACACTTTTTATTTGACTTTGCAGAAACTTTGTAAAAATAATATATAGTAAAACAATTTTGTCTTTGAGACGTGTGTGTTGTGTGATTGAATTCACCTGGGCTTAGAGCAAAGGATTTCAACCAAGGAGGAGATCAGGGATTTGTCCTTTGCTGAAATATTGATTTACATTTAGCATTTGCTGTGCTTCAGTACAACTTCCGGAACAAAGGGGTAAAGCCAATGTGGAAGTGCCTTAAACCTGCATCAAGTCAGATTGTATTAACTTACTCAAAATCTACCTAATGAATTTATGGTCACAATTGCTTTTTGTAAAACGTGTCCCATTTAGAGTCAACAATAGACTATAATACAGAGTATACTTAACGAGTAGCCACCTGGTCGTTGATGCTTCATTTGGTCAATCATTTAATGTTATATTCTCATTATCAATAGTAACATGATAGTTTGTAACTAAGATGGAATGTACAGAAAATCCAAACGGCTTGCTGTGGAACACAGTAGTTCATAGTATACACTGTAGTAGAGGTTATTACAACTATTAACACACACAAGTCTACCCTGATTACATGCATTCACTTCTAGCCTCCAGCTACTGACATACATTAGGACACTTTGACTATAACTGGAGCAATGGTTTACATTTACAAATAAATCTCTTGAATATGATTCAACATCTCTTAGCAGTATATACAGTATATAAAGTATTATTGTAAGATACTGTCTCCAATGTTCACAACAGTGCGATGTGTCTCCTCACACTGGTATGGGGCAATATGCATGAAAAGAATGTAACTATTACAAGCTAAGCTAATGCAATATTTTCTAGTATTTAACATGAAATACATCTGATTTGTTGATATGAATTTTGACTTAGGTAGAAACATAACATACTCAATACTTTTCTAAAGAAATCTCATATCAGTGATGCCTTTCATTCAAATGTGCATCTATAAACACCATGGACAGATTACAAGACAATAGTGCTGAAACATGTAAAAGCCCCCCCACCACCCACCCCTCCTGCAAAGGAGCAGGACAGTCGTTGCATCTTGTGGTCATTAGGAGTCACTTTGTTACTTTAGGGTCATTTTAAATGTCCTTTAACGGCTCTTTAAGGTTGTGTCTTACTTTGCTTGTCATTGTGGTCGTGTTGCATCTGGTGTAGTGTCTTTGTGATGATGTATCTTTGTGTGGTCATTTTGCATTGTTGTGTAGTCATCACCTGTGCCAAGTCGGCCTGGTCAGTAATCCTTCAGTAACGAAGACTGGATTTTCCCCTTCGATCATTTAGGGGAATATTTACAACATTAATTGTCATGACATTAAACAGCAATCGCACACTCTATTTCTCTACTTCTTCCTGTCTAATTTGCTCATCAAGGCCTTGACATCCACGGGGGCGGAGGCGGCGGCTGCCTTGGCCTTCTCTGCCTCATCCTGCTGCCAGAGGATCAGGGGATGGATGCCTGGGCTCCGGTTCCGAGCATTTTGCTCCAGCTGGGCTGGGCTAGGGTGGAAACAGAAACATGATATTGATTAATATAAATCACAGCATTTTCACTGGCTTTCAGTTCGGGGTAGGTTCAGGTTATTTATTTGTACCCGTATGTTGATTTGGTTTGCAGATAAAACACTTATCCATTATGACACATCTAAAACAACACAGATAACTGACCGATCTCTAAAACAGTACTTCCTGCTCCCTCACATCTCAAAACACTTCATAACCACGGTACAAACATGAGCAACCCACAGAGTTAATACATCAATAGGCATTGCTTCCATAGCTTCTGTGTGACACGGAAGCTATGGAAGCTTTTTCTGATCATTCTCCTGTGTGACCTTTTAGTAGCTGCTGTAATGTCCCTTTCAGTTATTGTGTTGGAATCTGTCATCAAAACAACTTCTAACTGCAAACTATACAAGGTGTTCGTAGAAGTGAGTATCCATCTGAGGCTGAAAGCTGTCTGGCTGTGTGGCCTTCTTCTACATAGATGCCTCAAGCTAAAGGATCATGTCAATCATGTGCAGGGGCAGCGAGATGTCAGAGAGGTGAGGATGAGCTACCAACCTGAAGTTATGAGGCTCAGGGTTCAGAGCCTTCTTCTGGATTTCTTTGTACACTGGTGACTTGAGGTAGCGGAAGAAAGTATCCTGTAGCAAAGAGACACAGCACGAGGAGCTCAGGTCACTGCACACATGCCTTAACTCTGGGCATTTAGACAAAGTATTGTATATATTCATATATATTGCAGGCCCCAGTATAATTGGGAACATACACTGTTCCACATGCTTTCTGTGGCCAAACAGGGAGCAATATCCTCACAATAATCAAGAAAAGCTTATTTGTAAAGATGAATGTTTTAGGCACTGATAGCCATGCTTAGACATGTTCGCTGTTGCCTCTCCACATCACACAGAATACCTTCTTCATGAGCAGGAACACGTGTGTCTGCGCAGCCTCCAGCACGTAGCGGTGAGGATGATCCAGGCCCTTCACCGTCAGGCCCATGGTCCTGCCATCAATGTTGATCCAGCGGGGGGCCCCGGGGACCAGGAAGGTCCTGAACACAGACACTCCACATCAATATCTGGGAGGAAATAGGGGATGGGATGTTCTCTACTCACTGTGTTTGAAAAATGTGTCAAAGTCAACTTTATTGTCAATTCCTCTATTTGTGTGACACAGACATATATGTACATATACACACATTTAGGTATAAATAAATAAAAAGAAGGCACAACAGTACATATTTGTTTAAAAAATAACAGTCATGGGTGTGATTCTAGTCTAGTAGATGTGATCAGACTTTTTCCTGACTAATCCAAATGTTCCACATTGCTGTACAGTATGTGTTTCTTCTCACTGTCTGAGGGAGGTTGGTGTGTGTGTGGGAAGAGTTGGAAAAAGCTGATGTAAAACAATGGGTTGTTTCACACAAAGAACATTTCCTCTCAGAACGTGTTGAAACTCACTCAGTGTTGAGTTGCTCTTTTCATCACATGTCAAATAAAGCCCAATGGGCATGTTCACAACAAAAAGGAGATATATTTGTATTTTTTAGAAGCAACAGTTTCAAGTTTTCACACACACACACACACACACACACACACACACACACACACACACACACACACACATAGACAGTGACTTTTCTGTCTTACTTGAAAATGGTCTCAGCTTTAGATGTCATCGAAGATGCAGTGCCCCACTTTAGTTCTTCAGCTGCCTCCCAAAATGCCAGGTTCTCCCCTATAATAATAATTCCTTACATTTATTATAGCACTTTTTCAGATGCTCAAAGCACACATTTACATATTTGTTTTGTATACATGCAATGGTCACTGTGGACAATACCCACAGGAGCAAGTTCAGGTGAAGTGTCTTGCCCAAGGACACACCGGCTTTACAGACGCAGCAGCGGCGGGTTTCAACCCTTGATCTGATGATCATTGCACAGCGCACTGCGCCACACCGTCCATCTTCACGCCTCGAAGTCATCGAGGCGCTTTTACAAGTACACATTGATATCATACATGTACTGTGGACATTGCCCACAGGAGCAAATCCGGGTGAAGTGTCTTGCCCAAGGACACAACGGCCTGACGCAGTGGCGGCAGGAGCGGGTTTCGAACTGGAGTTCCCCAGCACTCCCCTTGATCAGATGCACAGACCACTGCGCCACCCGTCCCCTGACACACACACACACACACACACACACACACACACACACACACACACACACACACACACACACACACACACACACACACACACACACACACACACACACACACACACACACACACACACACACACACACACACACACACACACACATACACACACACACACACACACACACACACACACACACACACACACACACACACACACACACACACACACACACACACACACACACACACACAGGTTTGTGATGAATATACAGTATAATTATGACATGAATCTTCTGCTACTGTACGTAGGATAGAAGTATTGGTGAAGCCTGCAAACATTTAAAATACAGGACAGGACATTTGCAAAAGGTTTATCTGGAAGAAAACACTGAGCTGTGCATATAAACACAGTATCTCCTGTGTACGCTGCATATCTTAAGATCTCTTTCTACATTCTATCCATATACCATAGCAACTGAATGCAATACAATATCAAAATATTACATTCGACACAAGCGAGCCATAACCCGAACTGAGTGGTGTTTGATGTGTCATTTGACCCCATACCGCTGAACTCCTTCTTGAGGAAGACCTTGAAGTCGTCGCGGCCTCGCAGGTCGCTCAGCAGCTCGAACAGGCTGAAGGACCAGCGCTCCACACGCATCTTAGTGGGGACCTCCACTCTGGACACAAGAAAACACGCTGTCACTAACATGCTGACCCATCTGTATGGATAACACATTTATATTACAAATTAAACATTGTTTTCATCTGAACATACTGTACCCAAAGTAGCTAAGACAGTAAAAGTAGTCGTTGTGCAGATTGGTCCATTTCAGAATAATATATCTGATATGTTTTATAATGATTGATCATGAAAGTGTTCTCAAAGCTGGTAAAGGTGCAGCTAGTTTGAATGACTTTGTATACTGCAGGGTAGCTGGTGGATTTACTCCAGGTGGAACTAAAGTCTGATTCAACACTTGGTTAGATTTCACATCATTCATCCAAACCAAGCAAACATATTTAAATACTCAAGTAAAGCACAACTGTACAAGTACCTCAAAATTGTACTTAATTACAATACTTGAGTAGATACACTTTGTTACTTTACTTCTCTGCAGGTGATTATGCACCAATCTGAAAAATAATGACACAAACATTATATTTAATTTGAGCTGAAAGATCCCATACTGCACAGGAAAAGGAAGCCCTCACTGTCTCATGTTGAGCGTCCAGTACATGTCGTTGTCGGTTAGCCAGGGGTTGCTGGGTAGACACGGGGCGAGGAAGGGGTCGTGGTTTTTGTAGGTTGCGACGTACTTGTTCAGTCTGCGGAAACATCATTTTTATAATTATTATGAGTGCTTCCAGCTGCTCTGCCCAATGTGTAAGCTGTTCTTAATATCACAACTTATTTCATGTAATGAGAAGGATACAGGTCACATAGATCTGAGAAAGTGTGCATGTGATTCTAACATGATTCGTCTTGTAACATTACAAATAATTAGTAACCCATAGAAAGATTACAATATAGATCAAATAAAAAGGATCTTACGCTCCAAGGGACACGCTAGATTTGACCTTTGAGCTCATGATAGCTTGTTGATAGAACAGGTTCTAAAATGAAAGAATGAAAACACATACAAAATGTGTTGTTGAATTGTGATTGTACATATACAGCTTCAGACCATCAGCTTGGGGAACATTACGTTGATTCAGGTGTGCTATGAACAAATCAATATTTCATGTGTATTTTAAAACCTCATGAAATAGTATGACTCACCATGCGTCTGTACGTGTCAAAAGGGATTTTCTGAGAGACAAGACAAAAGCAGTGTTTATGTGAACAGTTTGTTTGGCTCATAGTATTGCAACCCAGTCTCACGGCATTTCGTGTTATAGTCACGACATTTAATCTATTGATTCGTGTTCACCAACACCATTTCCCCCTTTTTCTCGTGTCACAAAGAACGATTTTGAAAGCAATGTATTTCTATTGGTAGTATGTTTCGTGCCTGCAGCACGTCTTTTTCTCCGGTCGGGTCTTGGAAGACCGGAAGCTGTGTGGTTCATAAAAACATGTTCTTACTCAATATCAAGCCACAATTATTGCTTTTATTTTAAATCGTATAATGTCGGACTTTTTTTGTCGTCTGTGAGGAAAAGAAACGGCTCAGAGCCTCAGGATACTGAAATCTGTATTTTTTAAAATCTTTTTTTCCTTCTAATTTGTTATTCTTTTCTAAATAACACACTGTTATTTACTCACCAATAACACACAATTATCCTTGTTTTTATTTATTTGTTTAATTCCATAATCTCTGGCTTTTTTGGCATCCGTCAGGAACTGAATTTCAAAATAAAAATAACCGGAAACAGACGTAGGCCTATAAGGGACATTTCGAGCATCATTGTGATACACTGCCACTGAACTGATTACCCAAGATACTCAGCTATGGTTTAAGCTCGCTGATTGGATGTTTTAGCCGCAATGCATGTAGGGATATGGTGTTCATGCGATATGAAACCCGAAAAACTTTTTTTTAAAAAGAAAAATAATACTTTATTCCGAGCGCTCTTGCTTTTCTCTTTGGAAGTCATCACATAACGGCATTGTAATACACGGTTCGGCTGCATTACATATTACAGATCTGCCGTAGTTCTTTATTTATAGAGCCCTGATGAGAAGACCTTTGGAAAAACTGGAAGAGATGCCGCCAAAACTGAATACTTGACGTGGATTATAAATATATCAACAATTAAACAACATCTTCAATTTCTCTTCACACAATACGTCTCCTTGCAGTATCAACACTAATTCGGCTGACTTTTACATTTGATCTAATTCACAGATGTGCACCGTTATGGTGTAAATATAACCTATATTTACACCATAACGGTGCACAGCTGATATAAAAGGACTTGTAGTTTTTAAAGATATTACTGATTTTCTTTGAATGTAAGAATGTAAATACTGAGTCTGAAATAATATAGCAATATGCTGTAAAATTATGTGAAAGCATGAATAAAACTACACATCTTCAGATGTTGTACATACATAAGCAGGGCCGGCCCTAGACTTTTGGGGGCCCTAAGCGAGCTTTGGCTTGGGGGCCCCTCTCACTCTAGCGCGTTGTAAAAAGACGTGCTGCAGGCACGAAACATACTACCAATAGAAATACATTGCTTTTAAAATCGTTCTGTGTGACACGAAAAAAAGGGGGAAATGGTGTTGGTGAACACGAATCAATAGATTAAATGTCGTGACTATAACACGAAATGCCGTGAGACTGGGTTGAGTATTGTGAAAGCATGCTGCAGGTGAAACAGAGGAACATGCTGATGCACCTACAGGAGGCTACCAGCACACACAGAGGAGGACAACACAGAACTGTCTCTGCAGGGGTTACACACCTATAAAACATTTACAAAATAAAAATGTACTGAATATTTGAGAAGATGAGACATTGGCTATGGTCCTGTGTAAACCATTACAAATAATGGTAAAGTGAAAGTTTAGGGTTTCATTTGAACTGATCTTGTTCTGCCTGATTTTATGATGGAAAGTCAAATATCAAAATATTTTCCCACATGACCAATTTATGATGGAATGATTGCAGAGTTAGACAAGCTTACAATGTGTGGCCATGATTTCAGTGCCTGGTGGATTTACATTCATTATTACAATCTCAAAATCTGTATTTTCTGGAGAGACTGACTAAAAACTAAATGTAATACGAGTTAAATGTACACAGGAATGAAACTGGGTGAAATACTGTGTGTAAATGCATGTGTATTTGTAACCCTTTCCTCTCATCTTCATCAGTGTAAGGAGAACTGTGAACAGAGAAAGAGACACAACAAGGAAACAGCCATCACATGGTTTCCCTTCACAGCAGGACACATACACATTACTACTATTCAAGACTTGTGATTGTGTTGGATCAGTGGTGAGGAGAGGAGGA